AGGTGGTGGCCGGCAGGCATTAAAGACTATGCGCTACCAATACCCTCCAACAGGACCAATGCATTCAATGACCTGCACAAGCTTCAACCTCATGGATATATATATTCCCACTCCTTTTTCTTCAAAAAATTCAAACTTTTTTAAAAAAATAAGTGATTGATCCAAAAACCCTAACAAATTTAATGTCTTTCTGTGTTTTTGGATATGTGATAGGTGGAAATCAGGGGAGTAAGATTTGGATTACCTTGTTGATCGAATATCTCAAGGCAACAACATTGTTTGAGATTCGAATCACTCTACAAGTAAGATCGATCATGTCTAGCTTGAATGATTCTTGTTCATCAAATATCTCAACGCAAGAACACTTGTTTGAGATTCGAATCACTCCACAAGCAAGATTGATCATGTCGAGCTTTAATGATTCTACATGCAACCTAAACTACATCAAATTGCAAAAAATAAACTTAGCCAGCTAAAGAAAGCACAAATGCTCTTTTCATATATTTTCCAAGTCTACTTACAAATACAATATACACGGCTATTAGCCTCAAAATGAAACTATTAAAGGCATTCCAAGAGTGGTAACATTCATACTTAACGGCCATAATTAACCATAATGTAATTATAACCCAAAGTAAATAAAAAGTCTTATTTACCCAAAATTTATAACATAAAACTTCATTCTTTTTTAACTTGGCATGAATTGAAATATTTTTCGATAATTTCAACAATATTTTTTTCACATCTTAGTTGAAGTAAATTGTATGATTGATGTCTCTTAGTTCATATTAACATGTCTGTTTATTTTCAGGCCTATTTTCAATCAAATGGGCAAACATTATTAACTTTTTTAATGTGGGTATTGCTTTTGTCGTCGTCAATAATGCTTACCTCCTCAACTGCCCGAATGTTTTTGTCAATCGGGTAATAGAATAGGAAGGGTAGAGATGTCAATATAATCTATTACGCTGAGAACCGGGCATAGAAGTCGTGTTTAGACAATGAACGAGGAAGAGGGTGGAGAGAGATTTCTCTTTGTTAGCAAAATTTGTATGAGAACAAAAGTTATATTCTCTGTCCTCGTCCCACCCCCTTGAGAACATAAAATTTAGTTAAGCTCGTGTATAATCTAGGTCAATTAATAGGACACGGTCGGAGTAGGTTAAGTAGTTAGATAATAGTACTTGGAGGTTCAAATCATATCCGTCCTCTTCCATTTTTATTAATGATATTTTAAGAAATTAAATATCATAAAATAAAAGAAATAAAGAATTTGGTCGTCTTCTTAATTGCTACTCGTGGAATCTCTTCTGAGTTCACTGCTCGAAGCACCAAAGGGGAGTTGGTTTCTTACCCTTTTTCTTTTTCATCATTAATTCTTTATTTATTATTTTTCAGTCAAATTTGTTCCTATTGGTTGTTTCCTCGTAAATATACACATTAATTTCGATTTTTATTTTATTTTATTTTAAAATTTAAAAAATGTAGAATTGTAAAATTAATATTTTACGATATAAATTCAATTTCTTTTTGTCAATTTAAAATATTGTATCGTGTTTGGAAGATCATGGTAGATGGTATTTTTGTGTGGATTTTGCTCGTTGTTTCTGTTTCCTACAAAAAACTCCATCCGCCTTTGCCAGGAATGTTCAATTCTGTACAATTTCTTCAACCAATCAAGAACACAGTACCCACTTCTTCTTCGGCCATTTCACCCGATTCGTCAATGCGTAGCTGCAGAAGCGCTTGTTTCAGCGTTAGTGATCGCGGTAAAATCGTGCACTTCCATCTCAAGTTGCCGGGGAATTCATGCCCGTGTAATCAAGTCTTCTCTTTATAGAGATGGATTCATTGGGGATCAGCTGGTCTCTTGTTATAATAAACTGGGTTATGCTGTGGATGCACAGAAGGTGTTTGATGATATGCCTGATAGAGATTTGGTTTCTTGGAACTCACTGATTTGTGGGTTTTCCCGGTGCCTTCATGTAACTCTCAAAGCCTTTTGTACCATGAAGTTTGAAATGTCAGTTAAACCCAATGAGGTAACAATTCTATCGATGATATCGGCTTGCAACGGAGCTTTGGATGTAGGGAGGTATGTTCATGGCTTTGCAATTAAAATTGGTGTTTCTTTGGAAGTTAAGGTCGTTAATTCTCTCATTAACATGTATGGAAAGTCTGGGGATTTAACATCTGCTTGTAGATTATTTGAGGCTATTCCATACCCAAATATAGTGTCGTGGAATTCAATCATTGCTGCTCATGTTACTAATGACTGTGCAGGAGAAGGAGTTCATTGTTTTAATAAGATGAGAATGTTTGGAATGGAGCCGGATGAAGGAACTATCCTGGCTCTGCTTCAAGCTTGCGTGCATTTGGGTGTAGGAAAGTTGGCTGAAAGCATTCATGGGTTAATCTTCTGCTCTGGTCTAGGTGCACAAATCACCATAGCCACTGCACTTTTAGATTTGTATGCGAAATTGGGAAGATTAAGTGCTTCATATGATGTCTTTGGGGAGGTGGGTTGTGCAGACAGAGTTGCTTGGACTGCCATGCTTGCAGGATATGCCGCACATGGGTTGGGAAGGGAGGCTATCAAGCTTTTCGAGAGCATGGCCGAGAGAGGCTTGGAGCCTGATCATGTCACTTTTACTCATTTGCTTAGCGCATGTAGTCATTCAGGGCTAGTCAGAGAGGGGAAACGTTACTTCAATTTGATGTCTGAGGTATATGGAATTGAGCCCAGGATAGATCATTATTCATGTATGGTTGATCTACTCGGTCGCTGTGGACTTTTGAATGATGCTTATGAGGTGATACGAAGCATGCCTATGGAGCCCAATGCTGGCGTGTGGGGTGCTCTTCTTGGTGCTTGTAGGGTCTATGGTAACATAGAACTTGGTAAGGAAGTTGCAGAGCATTTGATTCATTTGGAGCCTCTGGACCCCAGAAATTACATCATGTTATCAAATATGTATGCAGCAGCTCGTTCTTGGAAGGATGCTGCCAAAGTGAGGGCCTTGCTAAAGGAGAGAGGCCTGAAAAGAACCCCTGGATGGAGCTCCATTGAATATGGAAACAAGATCCACCAGTTCTTCGTGGGCGATCGATCTCACCCTGAGACGGAGAAGATCTATTCCAAGCTTGAAGAATTGCTTGGAAAGATAAGGAAAACTGGATATAGTTCCAAAACAGAATATGTTCTGCAAGACGTTGAAGAGGAAATCAAGGAGGATATGATAAACAAGCACAGCGAGAAGTTAGCCATTGCTTTTGGGCTTTTGGTGAGTAAAGAAGGAGACCCTTTAATCATTACAAAGAATCTTAGAATTTGTGGAGATTGTCATAGCACTGCAAAGCTCATATCATTGATTGAGAAGCGTACCCTTATCATCCGAGATCCAAAACGCTTTCACCATTTCTCGAATGGATTCTGTTCTTGTTCAGATTACTGGTAAGTCTTTACTATTCTTTATAATAGATATCCGTAGTTATCAATAACTTCATTATTTGTTGAGCTTGTGTTGAATTAGTCCGAGTTTTGGTCTGCTGTATAATAGCTTGATTTAGGCTTCTTTTATCTTGTTCTTTGTATAGTATGATCAATACGTTTGAAGGAAAGACACAACTTGTATCCATGCGCTTCATATTGGCCTTGAGTTCGCTCCTAGAAATATAGTCATCCCCACCTCTTCACGTCAATTCCCGTCCTGATACGAGTGTTAGATGAACACGACTCTCCACAGTGGTATGATATTGTCCACTTTGAGCATAAGCTCTCGTGGCTTTGCTTTGGGCTTCCCCAAAAGACCTCATACCAATGAAGTTAGTATTCCTCACTTATAAACCCATGATCATTCCTTAAATTAGCCGATGTGGGATTTCCATCATTCAACACCTCCCCTCGAACAAAGTGCGCCTCCCTTTAATCGAGGCTCGACTCCTTTGGAGTCTTAGTCATCTTTGACTGCCTTCGAGGAGGGGCTTGGCTCCTTTTCTTTAGGAGTTCTTTGTTCGATATTTGAGGATTTGAGGATTTACCAATCTATTGGCACGACTAAGTTTAGGGCATGACTCTGATACTATGTTAGACGAACACGACTCTCCACAGTGGTATGATATTGTCCACTTTGAGCATAAGCTCTCATGGCTTTGCTTTGGGCTTCCGCAAAAAGACTCTCCACAGTGGTATGATATTGTCTACTTTGAGCATAAGCTCTCATGGCTTTGCTTTGGGTTTTCCCAAAAGGCCTCATACCGATGGAGCTAGTATTCCTCACTTATAAACGCATGATCATTCCCTAAATTAGCTGATGTGGGATTTCCATCATCCAACAACGAGCACGTTGAGTTTTTTAGCGAGAAACGAGAAAATCAAGAGACTCGTGTGGGAGGAAGGGCTTCTATCTTTTACAAGGAAGGAAGCACGTGTGGGAGACTCGATTTGTACCTAGTAGACAATAGATTACGTACCGACTTTATTCCTACCGTTAGGGCCGTCTTTTGGGTGAGCTCATCCCTTAGTGTTCACAATTGAAGGCCTGAACACATGTTCTTCGGTGATTAGGCCACACGACAAGCCTTGATTTATTCTGTAATAACTTTATAATTAAAGCATTTATCTGAAAACAACTATGATATATTGGATATGACAAAGCTCTGTTTCTATCTAATACATAAATTCCATCTCACCTCTTAACAAAACAACCGGCAAGAAAGTTAAGACCAACATTTACCGACCGCCCCCACGGCCCTTAAGAATTATACACACGGCTGAGAGGATAAACATCCAAGGCTGGGCAGAGCCCCTGTCCTGTCGGATAAACCCCCCCACCGAACCCACTCGAATCCAATCCGACCCATCAAAACGAACATGCTTTCGAATATTCCTCTGCCATTTCCCCATTTTAAACCCCGAAACCCACAACTCTTCTACCTTGTCTTTTTTCATCATGAACTACTCTGTTTCTTCTTCTTCTTCTTCTTCTCTCTCCGACCAGCTTCACCTCCTTGGAAAAGCTGAGGTTTTTAAACTCCATGGTCGTGATAGAGCTGGCCGCAATGTGTTCCTCATTGTCGGAAAACACTTTCCAGGTACCGACTTTCAAAACAGAGTGTGAGTGTGAGTGTGCTCTGTTTTACTTATGGTGATTGCTGTTTTGGTTTCAGCTCGGTTCGTGAGCACCCAGGCTGTGAATCTCTATCTGAAGGATAAGATTTTCCCCTTCCTCAAAGATGGGCCCTTCACGTTGGTGTACATTCACACAGATGTTCATTGGACAGAGAATTTCCCTGGAATCTCCAATCTCAAGGCAATCTATGAGTTCATTCCAACCACCATTAAGTACAACCTTAAAGCTGTTTATTTTGTCCACCCCAGTTTGCAGGCTCGTCTGTTCTTCGCCACTGTCGGCCGCCTAATTCTGGGCGCCGAGTAAGCATTCTTCCTCCCCTGAATTTGAACTTCCCATTGCTCAAAAAGCCAAAAAGACCATATCTTTATGGTGGGATTCTTTATTTGTTGACTTGCAGGCTGTATAACAAAGTGAAATATGTGAAAAGAGTGGAGTTTCTATGGGAGTATGTTAGAAGGAAAGAGATAGAGTTACCGGAGTTTGTGTATGATTATGATGAGAAATTGGAGTTCTGTCCTGTGATGGACTCTGGTTTGGAGAGTGATTATCTCAGGCTCTTCTCCGCCTCGCCGTCTGTGGATTCTGCGGTTTCTACGTACTCCTCCATGAGGTGTTTTGCTTGATGGTGAAGACTCAAAGATGGAGTTGGGATACATGGGTCTTTTTGGGTTTTGTTGTAGGAGTTCTTTTGGAAGTAGTGGTAGTAAATATTGTGAGTAGGGACTCTCTGTAGGCAAAGTTAAAAGGTTTATGAGCTTTCCTTATAAAGAAACAAATATAAAGGCAGATGATTCTTCTGAACTCAGCTCCACTAGTTTCTCCCTGCATATGCTCCCAATTCATAATTACGATAGCTTCAACAGGCTACTAACATGATACGCCATAAATACATACATACAGTGGTCGATAGGAACTCTTTGGCTTCCTGTAGTTTCTAGCCCTTCATTCAAAGTCTCATGTCACGTGAGTGGATTTGGTTTCCTCGGTCATTCTGGGAATCTGATAGCTATCACTTACTAGTCAATGAAAGTGAGGTCAGTTTCAGTCTTCTTCATAGTAGTTTGAAAGTCAGTGTCATGTACTTGCTTATGGAATTATGTGTTAAGCATATCGATGTGGAAGTTGACTGATTTCCTCTGGGCAGACCGTCAAACTTGTATAAGTAGTGAAGAAGAAATGGAGAATGCAATCATATCTTTCCTCTATTAAATCCGTGTGGATAGTATAATTGAGAATGAACAAGACTTTGTTCCTTTGCTATCTTAGACCAGTCTAAAAGGTCACCCATTCCTTGTTGTTCAATGGGGAGTAATTCCTCTCCTCTTTCTCTTGGTGGGTCTTGGGTTGGTGTTTTCAAGAACACACAACTCGTGGATGTTTTCATTACTTGAGAGATGCATTAGGAGAGGTCCTGACAATACCAAAATGGGAGGATTGGATAGAAGAGATTTTTTCACTTTGTGAAATGTCGTTCGGCAATCCTCCTTCCCTGTGTACCACGCAAGCATAATGCTCGACTCATGGAACAATGCCAAACTTATCAAGCAATCCCATGTGGCTGCACGCCAAGAACATACACAAAAGAAGAACACTCGGGTTTTGTGGTGCCTTGCCGCATCTCTTCAAAGAGTTCAAGAGCTTTAGAACCTCCTTTATTTTGAGAAAGACCAGATATCATTGCATTCCATGACAATATCTCCAGTAGTTATCCTCCTAAATGCCAAGTTCCCGTCTTCCAACGGCAACAGCCCAAGTCCACCGCTAACAAATATTGTTTTCTTTGGATTTTCCCTTTCGGGCTTTCCCTCAAGATTTTTAGAATATTTTGATCTCCTCTCCGACCGACGTGGGTTCTCAAGAACGGTCTAAGCACACCTGTATAGATAAACTCATTATGGAACCCCTCCTCACAAGGCATCAATAAAATCAGCTCCCAAGCCTCTAAATCCATCCTTTGCACCGCATGCCCCAAAATCATAGTAGCCCAAGCAATAGGTCGAACACCTTATAAGCATCCAGCAGACACCCAATTTTGCAATACATATTAAGAAGCGAACTGCCAACAAAAACATCATAAAAGCCAGAAATCTTGATCGCAAGGGCATGGGCCTGTAGGCCACCTACCGTTTCGAGTGAACTTTGAAGAAGCTGTGAAAATCCAAGCAGAAGTGTGCGCATTCGGCAGTGTTCTCCTCGGCAAGTCCATGAGACGGCGTCTTTGCTGCTCATACTCTCGAAGAAGAGCTTGGGTTTCACAACGCCTCTGCATTCGGACCTGTAGAGAACGAACCTGTAGCAGCGATGCTAACGAAGAAGAGTAGGAAGATCCAACAACTCCGATTTGATTCAAATGAGGCGCCATTCGATAATGGGCTGGCCCACTTTTGGTTCATTCTGCTTTTTGCACACATACAGTTATTGGATCATTAAGTCCACTATTAGCCCACACATTTATTGGGCCGTTCATTCTACTTCTAGCCCACATATAATATTGGGCCGTTCTATTCTTAGCCCATATACCCATATTGGGCCGTTCATTCTACTTTTAGCCCACATACAATATTGGGCCGTTCATTTTTCTTTTAGCCGACATTCAATATTGGGCCGTACATTCAACTCTTAGCCCACATAAAATATTGGGCCGTTCATTTTACTCAGCATACACACTTATTGGGCCGTTCATTCTACTTTTCCCACATACAATAATTGGGCCGTTCATTCTACTTTTAGCCCACATACAATGATTGGGCTGTTCATTCTTCTTTTAGCCCACATATCATTATTGGGCCGTTCATTCTACTCTTAGCCCACATACCACTATTGGGCTGTTCATTCTACTCTTAGCCCACATACAACTATTAAAATTTTGTAACATTTAACGGATTTACTAAATGCAAAATTAAAATTTTTTGAATCTATTAAACATAAAATTTAAATGGGATGATATTTTTTTAGAAATTTTAAAAGTTGATCAACTATTTTAAAAAATGACTAAATTTTTTTATTAAATGTTTTATTTTCCTAATTATTATGACATGACACTCTCTTCTTTTCCTAATAATTCTACCCACGTTTTGATTAATAATTGCCAATAATTAGTTTTTCTTCTTTTTACTATTGATTTTTTGAAAAATATAAATGATCGAGTTCTTTAATAATTGACAAATCTCTGTGTCTTCACCTAATCTTAATTACTAAAGAACTCGATCAACTAACAATTTTTTACTCTTATTCAACCTAAAACCAATTTAGGTTGAGTAAGTTCAACTCAACTAAGAGTATTAAAAAAATTAATATGTATAATTTGTTTTGGTATAAACTAATTATCATTCTCCCTAATTTTTGGAGATGTTGATTACTATATCTTTGACTTTGTGTCAAATTTGGAGTGTTCTTAGACCGTGCTAAGTTGAGTCCATGTCCCAACACACTTTGGTTATTAGTTTATTCATGGAGCTATGGATATATATATATATATTATAAGGTTCTCTCAAACCTTTTTCTCTAAAGACTCAAATCTGTTATAGGTCATACCCACATCTCCCTATCTATTCACTTTCAGCCATGTGGAATTCATCAAAGACTAACAAAACACATACTTTTTAAAAACTTCAAGTGGCAGACAATGCATGATTCTTAGCTACTAGTGCCTAAGTACACATTTTTCCCACAAAATTCAAGTCATTGTTCTACACCATATTGGGTTTTGAGGGTAGCTTTAACAATTGGAAAACAAAATCGAAGAACTAATGAATTGGACCTCTTTACGTTTAATTGGTTGAGATATATATTATCGATCACTCGGAAGGGAAAGGTCAAAGAGGACAATATCTACTAGCGATGGGTTTGGACGGTTACAAATGATATTAGAGCCAAACGCTGAATGGTGTGCCAACGAGAAGGTTGGACCCCCAAACGGGGTGGATTGTGAAATCCCACATTGGTTGGAGAGGGGAACGAAGCAATCTTTATAAGGGTGTGGAAACCTCTCCCTAATAGATGCGTTCAAAAACCGTGAGTCTGATAGATACGTAACAGATCAAAGCGGACAATATCTCACACAGAGGTTTGAATCTATGACACTCGTGTAAAAAAGTGGTACATGAATAAACAAGTGGGTGAGAGAAAAATATGTTGAAAGAACTCGGATTAGCCTGTAGAGATAGTCTTCATTCTTAGAAGCAACAAACGAGTCGAATATGGATTCCAAACCCTAATCTAAATTCTGGACATGAAACGTTACAAAACCCTAATCTCTTCCTACCCAAAACATTTTTATTTTGTAAAAGAATTGAAAAATGAGAGTGGGAGAGACAGCAAGTCACGTGGCATTAGAAAGTGGAGAAGACATAATCTCTATCTCACATCTATCACAATCATAAAGCCCATCGCATACAAATCTCTAATCTTTAATTATAATATATGCTTTTAATGTGAACAAATAGCATATATTATATATTGGTTTCCTCGCGTGACATCAATAATTTAGAGTTTGGTTAGTAATTCTAAAACTCCAATCATTATATATTCTCTTTATCTTGACCTAAAGCTGTTCCTCCAAACAAGTTAATATGTTGCTTTCTGTCTCTTTCTGAGATTAAAAAAAAACATAAGTTGTTGTGTTTTTTTTATCCATGGCTGCAGCTGGTTGTTGTCTCCTCCAAAGTGAGCTACAACTTAGGCGCATGGCGATTCCCCCATTTGATGTTGAAGCTTTGAGAACCAAAAATGGGTTGCCTTTATTGGCTATCAAAATGGCCTTTTAAAGACCCAACAAAGATAAAAGCTTTGTAGTTCATGATTCTGCCCATCTCACTTGCACCAACCACCATGATAATTCATATCAATTATTATGTGTTCTTCTTTTTTCTCTCTTTAAATCTCTTGTGAAAGGGTCAGAATGAATCCATATATACATATGGACCACAACATTATGCACCTCACAATCATTATCAATGGTGGGTTCCCATGCATTGAGCTGCGCGATACCCGAAACCCTATTGCCTCACTCGATCCCACGTTGGTTGGGAGGAGAACCAAGCATTCTTTATGCATTTTAAAAACTTTGAGGGAAAACCCGAAAGAAAAAGCCCGAAGAGAACGTCTAAAAGATACCATCCTCTATAATCTTGAGTTTTCGAGTCTTGTTATAACATAGTTTAGCTTGGTATTAGTATTAAAAATCTCGTGTTAGTTGGGTTTTTGTGCTGATTGTTAAAATATCATCATTAGTCCAACAGGGTATCTTGTATTTTGTTCTCGATTGATCTTAATAAAGTGTGTGAGTGTTTACCACAGAGAGTTGTGTTCAACACTGATTTCCTAATTCATTATAGAATTTAAGCTTTTAGGTACGATTATGTAACAACTCAAGCTCACCACTAGAAGATATTATCCTTTTTGGGCTTTCCCTTTCGGGCTTCCCTTCCAAAAAAAAGAAGTTTCCACACTTTTATAAGAAATGTCTCATTCCTGTCTCCAATCGATATGGGATCTCACAGGTTCAAACCAAGAGATCTTGTGTTCAAACCCATTGACTAACTAATATTAATAGTCGACATTAGGTTTGATATGCTCGGATTAATATCGATAATCACTCGGGCTTTGTGCAAGTAATGACAAACATGAAACTTTTGGGTAAGTAGATGTTCAAAGGTGTGGCATAGTGGTTGGTGTGGAAGTAGAAAAAAGAGTGTTCCCCACCATGCACCATCAAAGCTCATGCCTTTTTCTAAAAGGAAAGAAAGAAGGTCGAAGGAGTAAAATAAAGGTGGCCAATTTGGAGTCTCTCACACAGCCAAAGACGAACAAAAAGCATTAACCTTTTCTCCATTTCTCACAGTTTATGCCACAACTCTATGAACACACAAGCCAAAATAAAGTTGATTACTTTTTATTTTCTTTACCGTTCTTCGGTTGTTGAAATTTGAATATCTCATCAGTAATTATTTCAAGTAAATATTCGATGTAGGAGAGAAACTACCAAAGTATTTTGATTTTAAATTTTAGGGTTATTAGTAAAATTACTATCTGTCTCACCGTCTCACCGTTATTAAAAGATAATAATATTGAATAAGTTTTTCTGGGTCGGGTAAACTTCAATAGCTTGAAATTTTAGTACCCAAAAAAGTTATCGAAAATGGCTAGATATTTTTTAAATAAAAAAAAAAATAAAAAGTTTGAATCTTTAAATAATAATGATGATTAGAGTAACTAAACCCTATAGTGAATCATGGGTTTTAGTGGAATTAACACTAATGACTATGAGAATGGCCACACCTTTTTACCTTTTTTTACCTTTTTCTACCTTAGATGATTTGTTTGGTAAAAGGGTATTTGAATTTTGAAATCAAAACCAAAGCTTTCTTTTCAAATCTAAATGTTGAGAAGAAGAACAATAAGAACAAGAAGAGAAAAGGTTCAAGAAAAGAGAAAGGGTATTGAATATAATAATCGAATTCACGAACCCATAACATTTTTACTCAAATTATCGACCTGTAGTTTAGAATAATAATCGATGTCCTACCCATTGAATATAATGATTAAATTCACAAACCCATAACATTTTTATAAAGAATCGAGCTATCGACCTATCATTTAGAATGATAATCGATGTCTTACCCGTTTTAGTGATCAAATTCACGAACCCGTTTTGGTTTTTAGTTTCCAATGATTTTAATGATAGCCAAAGTGGGGGGAGTTATGGAGGTTGAGCAGTGCAGTCTGGTTGGTTGCTAGCTGGTATGTACCTTAAAAGAGAATAATGGTAATAAGTCCAAATCATGCTCTCTCCTCTCTCCCACATCGGATTTCATTTCATACCATATTGGTTCTTCTTTGTTCATTATTAAAATGGCAGAGACATTCATTGGGTTTGGTTATGGAGTGAGGAGGTAGGTTTAACAATTAATATACTCATTCTCCACCACATCCCATGCTTTTTGTTTAATCTTTTTATGCCCTAAATTTTGCCTTCTTCTTCATGCATTTCAAAACCACACAAATCTATGCAAAAAGTGTAACGTTGTGGGAGTTAGTTCTTTTATTAGAGGCAATTATAGTGCAAGAGGGGCTTTATAAAGAAGCGTGGGCTTTTGTGGGTGTCATGAGTGCTACTCATCGAGAAGCCACCATCGTTCATCTCTAACCCTAAATAGAGGAGAACAAGAACGAAATATTGTTTATAAGAGTGTTGAAAACCTCTCTCTAGTATACGCGTTTTAAAAATCTTAAGACAACATCAGTTCGTTGTAGGCTTGGATTATTACAAATGGTATAAGAGCTTGACACTAGGCGATGTGTCAGCGAGGAGATTGAGTCTCGAAGAGGGTGGATATAAGGCGGTGTGCCAGCAAGGACACTGGGTCCTAAAGGGAGTGGATTGTGAGATCCTACTTCGATTAGGGAGAAGAACGAAACATTGTTTATAAGGGTGTGGAAACCTCTCCCTAACGTATATGTTTTAAAAACCCTAAACCCTAAACCCGAAAGTAAAGGCGGTTTCAAAGCGATATTATTAGGGTTTGAAACCCCTTTTGATTAATGGCATTTGAATTGGGGTTTTGACAAAATGGGTAAGTTTGTAAGTCAAAAGGGTAAATGTGGGAACTTTTTTGTTCCTTCTCCACTAGAAAGTGCATAGGGGATTTCCTAGGATTCCATAGTTAATGGTGAAAACTGAGGTGGACCCATCAAAGAGGGGTGTGTTCCAAAAGTGAGTGTACGCCACTAGACCCCTTTGTATTGACCATTGGTAAAATATATAACAACTCATCAACTCAAATGTCAATATGCCTTTCCTTTTCCTTTTCTTTATATATTCTCATCACAATTCTATGGTCAATACCTCAATCAGGGCTTCAACTAGCGTTCATGTTTGTGATCACAAAGTTGGGGACACAGAATTTAGTAAAGTTTAAGGATTCGTGGATGTTAATGTAACATTGATTAACAAAGGTGTTAATTAAGTGTGTTGTGTTCCTAAGTAAACAACGTTGGACACCTCATTGCAAATATGTTACGGGGGCCGTGAGAATCATTGTCGTTAGTACTAGAGATTGTTTGACGTATTTGTTTCATCATTAATGGTTCAAGTTGTTTGGTTATGATTTGTGATCGTTGAGCAATAAATATAGAATTCCTTGCAACATGACACGTTACTTACTTGTTGTCTTAGGAAGTCATCCAACATAGAATTGTTCTAAGCTAAGCACGTTTAACTTTGATTCTTAGCATCACTTTTATTCAAATGTAGTCTCGATTCATTCATGCATCTCTCCTTTATTTGAGTCACATTGACTACCGATGTGAATCAACCTCGACGTCACTTTATCCTTTTGACCTTAACCTCTGGTAAAATAAATATATGAAGGGTATTAGTTGAAAATGAGAAGTGGGTTAAATAAAGGCATGAGTGCTATATGGGTTGGTTCCTACTTTGTCCTATATTTTAATGTTTTATGCATATTTTTATGCACATTTTACGTTTTAAATTACTATTTTAATCACTATAATTTAACTTTGATACTAACCAAGATTTGAGGCTTCTAGTCTCGGTTCGATCGCCACCTGCATTTTGTTTAGCACCGCTTGCCACATCATCACGAGACCTTTCATAGTTCGTTAAATTAGATCGGTAACAAAAATGTTATATTTTTTTTTATTTTTGTAAAGATAAGAATAATAAAAAATAAAAAGTTATTAAAAAAAGTGACGAAATTGAGTGGTGAGTTAGAAGAGTGGAATCCTCCATGGTTTGCTGCCCAAATGGTTGACAAAGCCATTCCAAATGTCAAACAACAATATTTGTGCTCTTTGTCGATTCCCATTGTTGACTTCTTATAATATCATATTTTTGGGACCGCTAAGTCCACTACTAGCATATATTGTATTTTTTTTAGCTTTCTTTTCTCGGCTTCTCCTCGAGATTTTAAAAACGTCCGGTAGAAAAAAGTTTCCACACCCTTCTAAGAAATGCTTCCTTCCCCTCTCCAACCGATGCGAGATCTCACAATTCAACTTCTTAGGAGTCCAGCGTTCTCACTAGCACACAGTCCGATGTATGGCTCTGATACCATTTGTAACCGTCTAAGGACCACCACAATATATTGTTCTTTTTGGGCTTTCACTTCAAAGTTTTATAAAGGGTATAGTCGGGAGAGGTTTACACGCCTTTCTAAGAAATATTCCGTTCCTCTTTCCAATCAATGTCGGATCTCACGTTTAGTTCCTATATTTTCTATAAATTTATTTACCATTCTCTTCATAAATTTTGAAAACGTGTTCACGTAGCATCTTTTAACAAGGCATGACCGTTATGAGGCAACATATCTACATAGTTCGATACAAGATTTTAGTCATGCTATCAATCCAACGATTCAAAACTTAATACATAAATGATCAAATATTAGCATTGAAAAGCTCGATAGTTCAATCTCTCACTCAACAACGCGAGTCAATGAGAGGCAATGGCTTAAGCATGAAGACAATGTCATACCTCAAAAGTGGTACACGCAAGCAAACACATAGGTACACACAAACAGCCCTAAACGCATACGTTTTAGGTTTGAAACCGATGTTTCTCAAAATCTGTCATCTTTTTGTTGATATATTATGATATGTATTGGCATCAAAACCGAGGGAAAGGCCAAGAAATGAGCCCACTCCATCCCTCCCTCACTCACTCACTCACTGCACTCTCAGAAAAGACAGATTACAAAAAAGAAAGAAAAAAAAGCATTAGTTGTTCATCAAGAACGAGGAAAGTAAGGGGAGGAATAACTATGATGATCCTTTCTGTGATGCTTCTAAATATCAACTCTTAACCAAACTTCTCTCTCCTCATTTACTCCTCTCTCTCTCTCTCCTCCTCCTTAAATTCTCTCCTTTTCTTTGCTCTCTTTTCATGGCTGCGTTTCAAGGAAGGAGAAGAAGAAGAAGAAGAAGATGAGCTCTTTCATGGGGGTTTCTCAAAGGGTTTCCAACAGAATTTATTGGCATTCTGTCCACCTCAAATACCCAAAACAAGGTTTATCAACAAAAACCTTAAAAATCACGAAAGCCCTTTGCTTTTTGTGTGTTGTGTTGTGTTGTTTGGTTTGTTCTTTCAACTTGGAGGTGGGCATACTGCCAATTGAGCTCTGTTTGGCTCCTCTTTGTAACACCCTCTTGATCCCTACATCCCTTCATCATCATGTGGTACGAGGTTGTTTTAAAATTTTGAAAAAACATGTTTTGTTGGATTTTTAGCTTCATGAATCTGAAATTTCATAGAAAGTTTCAATTTTTGCGATGAATTTTTTGTGGGTTTTGTTTGTTTCATCAAATCATGAGTTTTTATGAAATGGGTTATCTTCATTTTCAATCAAATGGATCTTTTTTTCATGAATCTAGGGTTTTCTACGAATTTTGAAAAACATGTTTTGTTGGATGTTTTAGCTTCATGAATCTGAAATTTCTCAGAAAGTTTCCATTTTTGTGATGAATTTTTTGTGGGTTTCGTTTGTTTCATCAAATCATGCGTTTTTATGAAATGGGTCATCTTCATTTTCAATCAAATGGATGTTCTTCATGAATCTAGGGTTTTCTAAATAGACATTTAGGGTTTATTTGTTTATTTTTCAATTTTTTTTTTAATGTATTTTTACAGCCGCAGTCATTGAGTTACCTACGTGGGCTCATGATTAAAGCCTGACAAAACCCATTAAATATTTTTCTTAAAAGACGATTGCTCATGTTCATGGCCTCCAAAAAGAGAGCATAATGTAATCTTAGTAATATCTTATTAGCAGGTTTCTGATGTAGCCGGACGGCGGTGGCGAGTTTTTGTTTTTCCCGACGACCCAGTGTGGCGGCGGCGGCGGTGCAACTATGCCACCCTTCTGCTACTGTCCCTATTAAAACCTCCACGTTAATTTAGTATTGAATTCCATGAAATCCAAGAGATTAAGTGAATGAATGTATTAGTTTTGTTGTTTGTTACAGGTTGAACCGTGTGGATAATTGGGAGGTGGATCATGAACACGAAAATGGGTGAGTAAATTTGATGTTTTTTTAAGGAATTTGTCGTGGGTTTGTTTGTTCTTCGTGGTTCTTTTATGTGATAAAAGTTAATTATGACGATCTGTTCAATATTTCATGAAATTATTTGGGGGAAAATAGTGAGATGGCGTGCGAATTCTTGTCCCCAAAGTGATGGCCCAGCTAGCTAAGGTGGTTTTTCTTGGGAGTGTTGGTGGGTGATGGAAAGCCTTTTATTTTCTAATTTTAATCTTTCAAAAAAAAATAATAAAACAAAGAAATTCATGTGTTTATGAGTTTAATTTACTGTAAAACAAATAATAAAATGGTTATTGAACTTGAGTTTAGCGATTGTTTTTCTTCTCCAAAATCAAATTCACATCTGTTTAGATAAACACTTTTATGGAGATTATGGAGATTCTTAACATGTTCATGTAATTCCATGCAAAGGTAGGGTAGATGACTTCTAATCTCCAAGATGGATATAATTTGGTCGTAGGAACTGATAAACATTCAAATCAAAGGTCGATAACTAAAGAATGTGGAGGGAATTTGTAAGATCTCACATCGGTTGGAGAGAGGGGAACAAAGTATTTTCTTATATGGGTGTGGAAACCTCTCTAATAAACGCGTTCTAAAATCGTGAGGTTGACAGCGATATATAATGGGGTCAAAACGGACAATAATTGCTAATCGTGGGCTTGGGTTGTAACAAATAGCATCAGAGGTAGACATCGACAGTGTGTCAGCGAGAATGCTGGGCTCAATGAGATCTCACATTAGTTGGAGAGGGGACGATACATTCTTTATATAAATCCTCTCTCTAGTAGATGCATGAGGATGACGATGATATATAATATTCAATGCGAACAAGCATCTATGTTTAGGATATGGGTTTGTGTCATTTTGAATCTTTGTAAAAGAAGGGTTTTATTGGCAGATAATTCTCTTGTAGAGATGGATCTTTTAGTGAAACTCTTAGAAATCGAGGTTACTTGTAGGGGGATTAAAAGTTTACTACGTCGGTTACTCGTACTTGGTTAAATTGAATTTCTTCACTTTGATACTCAAAGCACTCGATCTACGTCGAAAAACAGATAGACATTTTTTTCCTGGCATGAGAAACAAAGGCTACAAAGAAACCGGGGTATTAGATAGATAGATAAGTTGACAAGGGAGGCCAAGGTTAGGTTTCTAGTTGGATATCAAACTTGTATTTGTTTCCCTTCTTGTCCCACTCCTCGCTTCTGCACAAAATTTGGGAATCTTTATGGATTCTCTCTCTTTCCATTAAATCCACTTCCTCTTTCGTCTAATCAATCACTTCTGGAAAATTAACAACTCAAGAAACAACTGATTTAACATCTCCATAAAACAGATTCGGATTAGAAACTATTTTCAAGAGCAAAGAGTAGTGTACATAAATCGTGGATCAAGATTAAACTAAATTGTATATCAGTTCCATGTCCATGAATATCAAAATAAAACGTATGAGTAACCTGATATGGCCGAATGTTGAGCGCATATGCTACAACCTTAAACCAATTGGGTGTCGTGTAAAGGACACAGCTCATATACCATGTACACGAGTTCCGTGCTCTGTTTTTTATCACAGGATGTTTAGCTCTTTTCTTTTAAGCTCTCTTCTCCTTGGTGTGATTTGTATGAGATTTAGGACAATCTCTGAAATTGTATATCATGAACACGAGTTTGCTGCTAGCAAATGCGACCATAAGTTGAAGGGAAAAAATTGAGATAAACTCAAGCAAATTTATAAATTCCATTCATTGCATTGCCCACATATGTTTAAGATCTTTATTCTGCCAAGAAAAAATGAAACATTTCAAAACAAAGAAGGATAATGTCATGTGGTTTGCTAGAGAACTTGGTCACCTCTTTCTTATCCTTTCAGGTGTTCTTAATATATGAATTACCCTAAAGCAGCAGAATGAGCAGAGGTCAACTTATTCACTTCCAACATAATATATATGAAGGTACCTTTATAATAAATTTACAGTGACGAAGCTACATGATGGAGATCCACGTAGCCAGATAGCACAGCCCGGTTGCGCTCCTTTACCTTTGTCTGATAAAGGACCCTACATTGCATATGGGCAGTTCTGACATCAGTTTCTAGTCAATTTAGATCACTTCTAGAGGGTACCTCTAACTAAGTAAAAACACTTTACAAATTCATCAAAATCTTTAGGCTTAAAAAGTATTTTGAAAATTTCGAAAAGCATTTCAATGTGCTTTCTGAAAGAAAAAAAAATCTTTTAATGAGTGTTTTTTCAGAAGTGATTATAATTTCACTTTAAAAACAGTACTTCGTGAGTTATTTTATTCCATGTCTTCAAACATGACTTTAAAGTTTTAATCTTATACAAAGGAAAAGAAGTAAAATCATACCTCGACCCCTCAAGCCACATCTCCGTTACCAAAGTTTCACCTGGGTACACATGCAAAAGAAACTTGCCTGATATGCATTTTACTTTGCTCGAGTCTCCTTTACACACGCATTTGATTACTGCCCGCACAGCAAATCCCAATGTACATAATCCATGTAGTATTGGCTTCGAGAACCTATAACATTGTGATTGAACAAATTTTTTGTCAATAAGATTGCATTTGGAAATCCAAGAGTTGGGGTCCATAGGTTAGAATGATAATCATTGCCCGGATGCATATAAAAAAAACTAAATAACCCCTTCAACTCATTTATTGTAGATGATACAATTCTTTTTTACAAATACTCCAACTGGTACTTAAAGATTGTTAGAATTGTTAAGGCGGCACCGGGTTTGAAGGGAATATGGAAGGATTGTTGCTTACAATCTTGTTTAGGTTGTTCCTCAAGTGGTTTTACCTATTACACGTTTGGGCACATTGTGGGGGCAATCAAGAGGGAAATATTGGGAAAATAATTTAATAGAAAATTTGAAAAAATTGGAGAAATTGAAGCACCCCACTCTTTTAAATGGAGGACACTTAACATTGGCCAACGCGGTTCTCTATGATATCACAACTTATTATATATCAAATATCAACCCTTCCGGTTCCAGTGAAGCTATTATTGGCCTTATAAAAAGTTGGAGTTTGTCTGGGAAGTGGAAAAGTAAAGAATATTAGCTGGGGGACGGTGTTGCTATCAAGTGACCTATAAGACTACCTTTACCAATAAATGAAATCAACACTCCATTCCTAACATTATACATCAACTACTAAGTTTATGCAACATGAAATGCACAATCCGATTATAACTTGATTTTTTTATATAACCTTGGTGGATATGACACCTTTTGCCATCCCAAAATTGTGTAGCGAGCAATAGGCATCAAAATATAAATATCATCAGTCCTCCATAGTCTAGGGGTGAGGATCTAGCCAGTTATATTCACGAGGTTTAATGAGATTAATGAACATAAAAAACTACGATGCAGACAACCAAAAACATAGGAAATAGGAGCAAATAATAGCAGTAAACAAGATGTGAGCGAGGTACCAACCCTGCAATCTTCGCAACAATAGGATCGGAATGAAGAGGATTATAATCACCTGATAACCTATACACTAATGCCTGCAGATTAAAATCACAAACAGAGTAAATTCTATTAACGCTACATCAAGATTAAAGTATGAGAACAATTCTAGTATTTGTATAGCACAAAAAGAAATTACAACCCATGAAAATCCTGTTAAGCAATGTTAACCTGCAAGGCTGCAATACGTAAAAAGGAGAAAGGAGGAAAATAAAGGCTACATATATTAGAGGGTCTCTAGTCTTAGGATATTTCTCAATTTGATTCTTGATCTTTTAAATTCATTAATTTAACACCTAACATGTCAAAAATTCTCAATTCAGTATTTTCGTTAAAAAAACGATAAGTTTTGTAAATAGAAAGTTAATGTGCCGCTAAATATTTGTACATATTATGCAAGACATGAATTTTGATAATGGACATGTTGGATTTACTAACAAGCTGGTTGGAGTTTGTGTCAAATTGTCAATTAACAATTTGAGAGCATCATGTCCACTCATCCGAACATGTCAATAAACTAATAATTTGATGATATAAAGCTTTTTTCTTGACAAATTTTAACAAATATATTTTAGAGGGACCTGATTGAGAAATTTAACATAGTAAGGGAAAAATTAAAATTTTGAAACAATAAAGAAAAGCAACAAATTGAGAAACATCTAAACGATTAGGAACCATTAAATATATCTAGTCCAAAGCAAAAGAAAACAAACAAAAGTTTGTACTAGTGGTCATTGTCAACTTGCCTGAGATGGTCGAGTACAATCCTCATACACCATAAAAGGCTGTGTTTTTGGAATTTTTCCTGCTGATCCTTGATTTTTTGGGTAGTTTGTGTAGGAGTAAGGGTGAGAAGAACTTGAGAATCCGCCAGCACCTCGCAGAAAGAGAGTTGTCCTGCCAAGTTTACCTAGTCATAGTCAATCCCTACCATAACCACCTTATAAGCTATATTAAAATATAATTATTATAATAAGGCAATGGAATAAAAGGAAGAAAAAATCGCTTACCGATTCATGCATAATAATTGTCCAGACATTTTGTCATAACTTTTTGTCTCAATCTCAAGGATAGCTGCTTTTCCTGAAAATGATTATGAATATTTATTGACACTTCAAAGAAAAGGTTTAAAATTAATAGATTCATTCTCTCATAAACCTCTTATATTGGACTTCACTTTTAATAGTTTTCATACAAATATAAGCAACATAAATCAAATAATATCATACGAAAAAAAATCAAATAATTAGTCGAACAAGTGCAAACCTTTGTCATGCAGCCCAGCAAGAGAGATTTTGTTATCTAACTGCGCAAGTAAAACCCCATGAGATTAAATATATTTCAGCATTAAGGAATGCTAATACAAAACTGGATATGGAAATTACTAAAAGATAATCATACATAGATCCAGTACGAATCCTTACATATCCCCTCGATGGCAGTGGCTTGTACAATTCAATGTATTGCTGACCATGAAGTAAGAGCTTTGGGTCATACCTGATGCCAGAGACAATACAAGAAAGATAACAGAACAACTTTTACAAAAAGAAATGAAGATTACATTCGCATTGGCACACCAAAGAACCTTGCAATCTTCTCAAATGTATGCATGAGTACTTACGACAGCCCTGGCAAGTTCAGACCCGTTCCCATAGTTTTGTGGATAAATAGAGCAGCAAATGTTGGCAAAACCTACAGAAAGAGAAACTACAAGTAACAAATAGTAGACGAAGAGTCACAGACGTTTTCTGTGT